AAAAAAAAAAAAAAAAAGAGGAACCTGATGGCCGAAGCAAATGCCGAGGACCTTCTTTTTCATGGCGTCTAATCGGTTGAGGAGGATGAGGAGCCTGCAGACCCATAGATCGTTGCCGTGGGCGTCGTTGCAGCTGCCGGTGATCACGAATCCGTCGTAGGCGGCGATATCGCCGTCCGCCGGGAACTCGCCGCGCGCCACTCGGAAAACGTCCCACTCCTCGCCTTCCTCCCTCAGCATCCTCACGAAAACGCCGAAGTAGCCGCCGTAGATCTTCTTCACGTAGTCGGAATCGTCGGCGCACAGGAGGACGGCGAACTTCTGGCCGCCCATTCTCTCTCTAGGTGCCTGCGTGTGTATGTGAGAGAGAGAGAGAGAGGGAAGGGGGAGGTGTGGGGAAGAAGACGAGATGGGAGAGATTTACCAAATTGGGTTCGATCTGAAAGTTTAATGGGGTCATTTATATATAGGGCGTGCACGGGTAGACGAGGGGTGGAAATTTACATTTTTCTCCTTGGGTCTCGGTTGACCTTTATTGGTAAGGATGTTTGTTAAAAAAAAATATATTCTTAAATTTAAACTTAATGAGAAGAAAAGTGTTTTAATATAAATAAATATGTTTTGTAAAAAATATAATATTACATATTTTAGATGACACTTGTTACTTGTACGATTTACATGTGTTATATTATAATAATTTTACTTATATCATATAATTACTTTAAACATAAATATATTATGTGATAATTTTAATTAATATTAATAAATAAATTTATAATTATTAAAAAATGAATACAATTTATTTATTTTAAAAATACGATATGAATGTCAAATCGAAGTTCATCAAGAGACGATTAATTTAATATTATATATGTAAAACTGATGAAAAATATAAAAATGATTATTTTTTAAAATACACTTATAGTTCAATAGTTATAATATGATATAATATTAAAATGTAATTAATACGTGTAATATAACCATACATAATCAACATATTTATGTATAACCTGGACTTAATTATTTTTTAATTGAAGTAAATTAAAATTTATTGAAGTCAAATAATGAAGCACGTAATTTTGCCACTTCAGATACTTAGACTCAGCACGATCAGAAATTACATATAAAGAGTTTTGACATTCAAATTTGTTGAATATTTAT